CTTTTCCAACTCCCTTCCTGTCCGGGCGGGGCTCCCTCAGGTCCCGCCGTAGGGTCTCCTGGCTGTTTGTCACACACTCCAGGCTCCCTCCCATCCCAGGGCCTTTCTTCTAGCTCTGTCCTCTTCACCTGACAACCCCTTGGCTGACTCCCCACACCTTTGCTCAAATGTCACTTCCTCAATGAGGCAATCTCCTCCTACAAAACATACACAGCCTCTCAGTCATACACAGAAGTGCCCTTCACCCTCCTCCCTCCGCTCTACTCTTTGTTTACACTGTACATATCACCTTCTAATAATTGCCTTATTTATTTATTTATTTTTAAGATTTTGTTTATTTATTCATGAGAGAGAGAGAGAGAGAAGCAAACTTCCCGCAGAGCAGGGAGCCCGATGCGGGACTCGATCCCAGGACTCTGGGATCATGACCTGAGCCGAAGGCAGATGCTTAACCATCTGAGCTACCCAGGCGCCCCAATAATTGCCTTATTTATGCTACACATTGTTCGTTGTCAGTCTCCATCCACCCCACCACCACCCCTGCCCCCCTCCTGATTAAGGTTTTGCACCGATAGTGCCTAGAACGGGACCTGGCACAGACAGAGTAGGCACTGCATAAATATTTCATGAATGAACAAATACATAAACGCCCTGAATGGCTGGGACAAATGAGGCATGAGGATGCTCTTTGGCAGCAAGAGAGAATACGTACAATTACACAACCACGCACTTGAAATGGCAACAGTGGATAGCCTTTAGAAGTAGTCTATAATCCAAACATGCTTGGTGATTAAAAGTGTTGGCTTTTTAGTCTGACCTGGATTTCAATTGTTTGCATATGGGACATCTCTAAACCTCAATTTCCTCTATGAAAAATGGTTACTATATTGTATAATACATATATATGCATTATAAAATGAAGGTACCTACTTTGTAGGGCTGCTGTGATAATTAAATGAGATTCAGTATGTAAAGCACTTGCCATAGTGCTTGGCATATAGAACTCTCTGGATAGATAACCAATTATTAATAACACTATTAACACCTGAAAATTTAATATATAGATATCTGGGTATGCATATATCCATCATTATATAGGTAGATATACATAGTCACCAAAAGCCATTATTCTGTAATCCTTACTACAATATTTCAATCTTTATGGCTCATAAAATCTGGACCATGTTACGGAGGAGAAAATAAAAACACGTTACTAGTACTTCCTGTAGTAAACACCCCTGGACCAACCCAGTTTAACAATGCATTTTCTGCCCCAGATGGCGTTTCCTCTCTAATCTGTCACTGTGTTTTTATTTTCCCACCCGTATGTCCATTCAGAGATGTGTCTCTCTACAGGTAGTCAGCTGTGTTCGACCCAGTCAGCTGTGAAGAAACATTAGGAGCTCGTTAAACACAATCCTTGCTTTGCCTCTAATTTGAGTTAAGGAGGAAAAATCCAAAGAACGAACATTCCAGGCAACAAACTTACAGGATATGAGCCTCTGAAATAATTTTTTCAAGTTCCCTCTTAAATGTGTTTATTTTGTTTAGCTCAAACAGAAATAAGCTGGTGCGTGTCTTATAACCTGCCCCCTTTTAAATGGGCTGATCTTTAAGTCCAGAATGGCTTTCTGAATTGTGTCTGGGCCTCTCCAGGTATTATCTATAATCATATTTCTTCTATGTAGAAAGGTATGCAGACATTCACATCTCTACTTTGGGTTTCAAACTAATTTTACACTTCTCCCAGGGAAGAAAAAAAAGAAGAAGAAGAAGGCATAGTGCAAAAGTTATTTTAGCTGTGGAGTTATGCAAACTTTCAACACATCCCGAAGGTGCCAGCCTTGTGCTTATAAGCAGTTTCAGAGCATTAGGTGTTCGGCATAATTTGCACTCTTATTGCCGCACTCTCGCTGTTTGAGCTTTTTTTATTATTATTTTATTTTTTCCTTACCTTGAAAACAAGTTTGCCGTTTCAAAGCAAAAGGGAACTACTGACAAAATATGAAGGTGTTTTATCCTCTACTTAAATCGTAGCTCTCTTTCAAATATTTACTCTGGTTTTTTGGGGGGGTCCTGGTTTGATCATGCAGGGAGGCAAGCGCAACCTCAAAGCAATAAAGTTGAGTCTGCAGTTTCCTAGAGAAGTTTTAAAACTTCACATTGGGGCACGGTGTGTCTTGCTGACATTAATTGGGCGGCGAATTAACTTTCCCTTCTCCGTTCTGCTTTGTTTCTGCTTCCAGTGACAGTGGTGTTGTTCGCAGCTTTGAGGCGGCAGCGGAAAAAAGAACCTTTGATCATCTCCAAAGAGGACATCAGAGACAACATTGTCAGTTACAACGACGAAGGTGGTGGCGAGGAGGACACCCAGGCCTTTGATATCGGCACCCTGAGGAACCCCGAAGCCATAGAGGACAGCAAATTACGCAGGGACATCGTGCCCGAGGCCCTTTTTCTGCCCCGACGGACTCCCGCAGCCCGAGACAACACCGACGTCCGGGATTTCATTAACCAAAGGTTAAAGGAGAATGACACGGACCCCACCGCCCCGCCCTACGACTCCTTGGCCACCTACGCCTACGAGGGCACCGGCTCGGTGGCCAATTCGCTGAGCTCGCTGGAGTCGGTGACCACGGATGGAGACCAAGACTACGACTACCTTAGTGACTGGGGCCCCCGGTTCAAAAAGCTGGCAGACATGTACGGAGGCCTGGACAGTGACAAAGACTCCTAATGCGTTGCCTTTTGCCTTTTTCCTTTTCCAGTACGACACCGAAAATAGGTGAAGTGGCTCTTTCTTTCTACTTTATCCACCGCTCCGTGAAGGGTTCTCTGTTCTACCCGTTCCAAACGTCAATGGCTGCAGCCGGTGTGGATCCAATGTTAGAGACTTTTTTCTAGTACACTTTTATGAGCTTCCAATAGGCAAATGTTTATTTTTTAGCGCATCCAGTTAACCATGTCAGTCAGCCCAAGAGGCCCCGTGCTGGAGGAGAGCGCCAGGAGTGGTATTTTCCCTCGTTCTCTTAGGGCGAGTTCCGAAGGGGCTCAGTTTCCCTGGCCTGGTCTCCCTGCTACACTCCATTGACTCAGGTCAGCTGGTCGCTCTGGCTGTACATTTCACATGCTAATGGGATGAGGGACTGTGCTTTAATGATAAAAATACATATATAGTTTTAGTAAGAGAAGTGAGGGAGGAACAACTGTGAAGTTGGTCCTGGTATATCAGCTCACAAGGAGATAATGAACTATATAGATGGGTGTGTATTATGGGTGTGTCACAAAGAATTTAAAATGGCATTTGCCCATCCTTTTTGTTCTTCAAGAACTTTATCCGGCACCAATGACTATTCAAATCATGAAATCCACCAACGTTTTAAGATTCTTGTTCCTCTTTTGGACTAGAAGCAAATTAAATGGTAACGTTGGAAAACAACAAACAAAATGTAATACCTCATTCCTTGCCACTAACTCATAATTTGTTATATATTAAACCTGTGAAAGTTTGCCCTTGTACCATATAAAGAGAAAGGGAAAATAGCTAATGATGTTGACAAAGGAAATATTTAGCATATTTTAAAGTTCGGGCCACCAAATGTACCACAGATCACTTAAAATTATTTCAACCATCAGTAAGCTAATTACAAATAAGTCTAACTGTTTAAAATTCTTGAAGGAACTTTTCTGAGACAAATTTTAACTCCTTGTCTGTAGTTGTTGTCAGTATTATTCTAATATACTTGAAAATAGCAGCGTGAAGTACAATAACTCATACTCTTCAGAGACTTTGTACACAATTAAGTTGCATTAGTAAAGATAGATTAAATAAAACTCAAATCCCGCCCTCAGAGTTTAATGGGGAAATGACAGCCAGCCACACTTGAACTTGAAACCCTGTCCTTCACATCTGGAAACATCTATATATTTATATGACATGATAGATATAGATATATTGTTGAGATCATAGTGAAAAACTACATAGTACATGTTTGGAAGACACTTACGAAGGGAAAAATGTGATTCCCTTCAATAAGAGTGTTTAAGATTGTATTAAAATGATAGTTGACTTTCAAAAGCATTAATATTTTTTCATTGTTTTTAACTCTGTTGCTATGGCAACCTTGCCATCCTTGTCTTTGAACTATAATGATAAAGTGATGGTCTCAAACTACAACGGAAAAGTAATGTACAAGCCATCCAATCTATTATTTCTCTAATTATGCAATTAGCATCGTAGTTATTTTCCAGAAGACCCAACTGAACTGAACTAATCCTTTTGGTAGGTTCAAATCATTTATTTCATATGGCTGTTCTAATGATTTGTATCATTAGAATCTTACATTGTGCAGTCATCAGAAATTTCCAAAGTACTGTAATGAAAACATCGTTGTTTTGAAAACTTAAAAAAAAAAAGCAAACCCAGGCTCTGTGTATATACATATACATATATATATAAATATATATTATGTACTTATGAATATGCTGACTTCAATTATTAGTCTTAGGGATTTATTTTTAATTAATGTTAATTTTCTACAGATAATGTTATTTCCATTTGGGGATACTGTCATATTAGTACATACTTTCTATTTGGAAACATACAGTTGTTAAGTTTTAAATAGGTGTATTACCCAGGAAGTAAAGATGGCACCTTTAAAATAAGAGAAATGTAGTCTTTTGGGTTACCCAATTAGAGTGAAAAAGTTTTATATCCATATTCTTCTTTGTGTTACCGAATGGTTTCCTATTTTGTAATGGACTTCCCTGTGTACTAACAAGTATTTCATGTTTTCAGGGGTTTCTTTTGTTAGTTCTTCATACACATACACACACACACACACACACACAGGAATGCAAACAAAATACTACAGGAGGGTTTCACTTATAATGAATACCATAGTCACAGTTAAATGTTGAAAAAAGATAGCTTAGTAAAGTTAATTAGTAAGAACTAGTTATTTATAGCAATAGAACACCACCTTAACCACATGACTTACTGTAAAATCAAAGAGCTCTCGGTCCTTATGTTTCACATCATGTAATAAATTGTATCAAGAAAGATAGTCCTGTAAAAAGAAAGATATCATCAGAAGTCTTCCTTTTGAACTTTTGGGTTAATTGGAATGTCTGAGGGTCGACACTAGGAACTTCCAATGTTTAAGGGTAAGGTTTATTCTCTCCTCATAAGTGAAAGTAAGTAGTTCTGTAGTGGAACATTTGAGATACAATTGGCAGGGTATATTATCCCACCTTGAAGATGGCACAGTGAGCCAAGAACAAGTTAACATGACTAAATATTGAAATTACTGCTTAATCTCTTACCACAAAACCTGATGATAAAGTGAATCTCTAAGAAATTGGATAATTTAAGACTAGAGCTGAATATTTAGTACTATGGTTCTGTAAGTATTTTACTATAATTAATACTCTCTGATGTCATGGAAATATAGAGAGCCATACTTCCATGATTCCGTGTGGGTCTCACTTCCTTCCCACCAAGATATCGCATCAAGGACCCCAGTCAACATGAATGATTACTGGAGAAAAAAACTAGTTTTCAGCTCAGTTTTCACAAAGTCTCTGTCCTGATATTAGATGTTAGTGACAAGAAGGATGGAAGGAAAATGGGAAGAGGTAAAATTTAATATTTGCTTTAGTCACTATGAAACTAAAATTCCTTAATTATAAGCAGATCACTTCTGTGGATTGCTTCAAGGACTTTGAGCCCCTGAAATTTTTTTCCCCTCCATTCGAAGAGGAGAGTTTCTTCAAACCACCAAGATGTTCCCTAAAATAAGCTGGGATTTTTAAAATGTTAAACTACCGTGCATAAGTTTACAACCTTCACTTCATAGCCACTTTCTGCTAAAAGGCATAAACATTTGTCCCCAAATAAAAAATGAAATCAAATAGGAGAGAAGAATAGATGGTTCCATGGAACCATAAGACAGGGGCTCTGGGCACAGTAAATACATGTTTTTTACAGAGCTTTCTTAGCTTTACAGTTTAGTTGTGTGAAGGGAGTTTCAGATACAAACTGACTCCATTTTCAAATGAAACAAAACCTGGCAATTCAATTTTAACTCATTAAAAAAAAAAATTCTGGCTTAGTGTTCATTTTGAGCTCCAAAAAAGTTGTATAAAAATTTCTTAAAAGTTGAATCTCTATCTTAGGAGCACCCAAAATTTACAAATCCAAATTAACTTTAGAAAGTTTCCATTACTTTCATTTCTAAGTGCATAAATATTAGATACCCAATTTGCTGAGCAATACCTTCCATCAAATGCTTTGCCTTGAAATGGGTATGTCATTGGAGATAAATGTATAAACTATGAATTAAGAATTCCTCAATTCTACATACTTGAGGACCATAAAAGTATGCAGCTGAAAGGGAAGAACAGAGTTGGTTCTTGGCCCAAACTAAGTATTTAAATCAGGCACACCTAAATTCATTTTCCCCAGGAACCAAACCACCAAATCAATTATCTTACCCTAGTCACTAGTTTTAAAGCAATGTAATTACTTGGGAAGAACACTCTAGAAAGTCATGATCCCCCCACTATTTTGAAAGGTATCCTCTAAAAAGGATCGTTTTAGTGTAATTTTATTTTTTATGATTTTGTCTAGATGAAATCTTTTTTGAATTGTTGCAGAGGATTAAACAGTCAAGCATTTACATTTAACACTAAAACCCAGGCCCCTCTATCAGATTGTTAAGAGTGGAAAGATTAAGACTTAGTGTATGGATCTTCAGGAGGATGAACTATTTTCCAAAGTCTGACAAGCAGCTTTCTTTTCCAGAGAATACAGAATCACAGTATGGTCTCCTTAAAAGTTCAGTGACTATTATGTTTGCAGCATTTTTAATCTCCCTTTGGCATCTTTATGGAATAGTTTTCTAAAGGGGCAATTTTCTACTAAAAAAATCAGACCCTGATCATATTCAGTGTGCAGAGAAATACCCTCTTAGAAAGGAAATACATTGACTCACACACTTGTTAAAAGTTAATAAAGAGATAGCTCATTTTTAAAGCCAGAAGTTTATGGTCTCTGCATCGTCAATTTAATTTAAGCATTGTTGAGACAATCTTTAATCTACTCCCCATTTTGTAATACCTTATTTATGATGCATTTTCATTTTTTAATTTGGGGGGAATGTTAGCCCGACAGAGCCAGCAGATGAAAGTGCCAAAAGGAGGTCAAATGGAAACAAAGCCCATTACCCACTGTATTTCAGACAGGACCAAGGCACTTAGCCTGAGAGCCACTGGGTTATTAGATTAATTTCAAAAGAGCTTTTACAAGTTGCTTAATTCCAGTTTTTTTTTTAAAACCCATGGACCACAAACTCAAATTTCTCTTCAAATGGGGTTAATTTGACAAATGAGGCATGGATCCAGTGTTGTGGAAAAAGCATTCTGCTATAATGAGATCTTGGTCTTTCTTGCGAGACTATGTTATTTATGTAAATATGTCTAGAGGCACCTTCTATAAGCTTTTAGTTTTCTATGATCTATTAGTTTAGTGTTTATTAAGGAATCAAATGTATAGAATTGCTAAGGCATTCAGGGAGAATGCTGTGTAGCAAACCAACCGATCTGCTCAGAAGAAACGTAGGAATGCTTGGAAACCACCGTATTGTTTTGTTTGTGATTCTTTTCATTGCTTTGAAAGTAAACTGCCTAAGAATAGGCCTTATAATAAATGCTACGTGCGTCTTCAGTAGTACCAAGCTAAGACAATTTGGCATTCTCCTACTGTGATTTGTGATTTTTAAACCCAGAAAATAAAAGCTTTTTGGTATTGATTGTTTTTAATTAAAAATACTCCCAAGTATAAATTGAAGCTGATGCCACCCTTGAAGATTTGCTGGCTGTAATGCTCAGTCATATGGTTCTTCTCATGAGGCAATGAGAACACCTGATAGAAACAACCACTGCTCAGCTTTCATCAACATTTCTAGTTGGGGAGATTTTCATAACTTCACAGTTTACATGAGAAAGCTTCCTGTATTTGAAGGAGAGGTAAGATGATTACCTTACAGCTCAGTGTAGCCGGGCCTTTTGTGGTAGTCAAATGGCAAAGCCACGCTCCTTGAAATGACTTCTTTTATTTTCCTTTGTTTTCTTAGACGTATACATCTGAAAAGAATGCAATTTAAAAAGTGATTTCTCACAAAGAGTTAAATATGCCTTTTGCAAATCAATTTTTGTAACAAGTTATTTATATGATATTACTTAATAAACTGTTTTTTCTAACTCGTTTTTTTCAATTCTCTCAAACTATTGTTTTTAATCAGAGATTAAAAAAAATGTACATGCTGATACACACTTTATCTTTCCAAATCTGCTGTTTGAACCTCTCAAACAGCTAACTAAAGCCAACTTGTTATACAATAATTAGCTTGTAAACAATAGTTTCTCCCAGCCAGCATTATACATCATTGGTGCTGCCCTGAAGACTTCTTACTGCTGGGGCATCAAGAATTTTACTGTTATTTATGGAATTGCTGTATTAAGAAGAAAGCTGTTTTTCCTCATGGTAATTGCTTTAGATAAAAAAAGACAGTTCTATATTTTTGTCCATCCCAAATCTCCATCCTTTATTTCACTCCCATAGAAAAAAAATGTCTATGGATCTCTGATTTAAAAAAGAAAAAGAAAAAGTAAGAGCCAGACCAGAGGGAAATAAGGATAAAATCCTTCCAGCATTCTGATACTATGAGTAAATAAAATGTTTTTAGCATATTCAGAGCTATAATATTTCATATGCTTGTTCTCTTTTAAGCTGCCTCCTATTTCTACAGAGGCTATATCATAATTTTTTAACTGAGAGAATTCATAGCTTTGCAAAGGAGATTTTTCATTTATTCATTCATTTGTTCAAGCAGTGGGCAATCCAGTGTGTGCCATGAAATATCTGACAGTAAGCCAAATAGACATATCTTCCCTTCTCTCCAGAAGCTCATGGTCCAGGAGGAAGGGCTGCCATAAACTCCTAGCTATAGTGTCCACCAGAAGGTGGCGGGGAGATGCCTTCAGAGAGAGATAGAGATCCAAGTGTTCATAGGAAGGGGAAACTGTTTCTGCCAGGTGGAGGAGGGTGTGGGAGGTTTAGGAATTGGTAGGATTGAGATAAAGGGAGATAAGAATCAAAAAGAATAGCAGGGGAAAGAAAGAAGAGAGAGAGATGTTTAAACAGAGGTTTAGGAATTGGTAGGATTGAGATAAAGGGAGATAAGAAATCAAAAAGAATAGCAGGGGAAAGAAAGAAGAGAGAGGGATGTTTAAGCAATGCCCCTCATCTCAGCAGAGGTTCCCTGAAGAGGACTAGGTTTGGAAAAGTCACACAGTACCAGAACACAGAGGGTCGCTAATACCATAGCAGCTGATTTTTGTTGTTTTTTGTGGGGTTTTTGCCATTGGGTTTGAAGTTAGCTTGGTGGGAACCAGAAACCCATGGGAAGGAATGATGGTATTAGAAACACATGTTTTTGAAGGATATGTCCATTGCACGGTAGTATGCACGGTGTGCTAGAGCTAAACCCCCTCCTGTGCCCCCAGCTCTTCGTGACCCCAAGGTAAGCTGAGTCGGCAGGATCTAGGAGACCTCCCTGACCTAATGGTAGTGTAGGCAGGAAGGGCAATGTGCTGTCTCAAGGACCCAGCTCAGGAAGCAGTTTCCTGCAAACATTTAGAGAGGCTAAGCCATTTCCCATCACCAAAACACACCACTTCCATAACAGTTATCAGTGGGTATTAGGGTAATTCACTCTAACTGCTGCAACAGACAAAACCCCAAATCTCCATAAAGTTTGCCTCACTCTTATGGTGTTCAGGGTGGTTGCGAGCCTTTCTCCTTGTAGCCACGCCATTTGGAGTACACTGCCTCCAAGGTTTAACGTGGCAAGGGAGGAGAGTTTGCTAGGTGATCATAGGAGATGTTTCTAAGCGGGCAGGGCCTACTCATTGCTATACCACTTCTGCTCACATCTCATTGGCCAGAACTGTGTCGTATGGCCCCACACTAACTGGACAGAAGCTGGGAGATGTAGACAGACAAATATATGTGTATCTGGTGACACACTCTGGTGAGTGTCACTTACATGTAAGATACACTTAATATGTATCTGCCACTTATAGGTTCAGTTCCCAAATCCTTAGAGTTTTAGTCTTCATAATAAGCCACATCTCATAATAATCATGAGGTTGTTATCAAAAGAGCAGATAGGAAATCATCCACAAATTCAACCTTCAACCTGAAAACCCCTTTAAAAGCAGTTTGTCTACCATCCCTGATCTCAATGCCCATGGTAGATATTTCTAATCAACTGACTCATAGATCTCCCAGATATAACCTTAGAACCCCCAACAGGAATGCCCCACCAGCCATCAATAATAGAATAATATTGACCCATTTGCTATCCCAAACCTAAGAGATTAAGTTCTCTGGTGAAAGACTAGTTTTCTTTCATTCTAAGTTTTGTTGACTACCCACCACTGACATTTGTCAAGAACATTCCAATCCTGAGATTGTCAAAAATTTGGAATAATTAAGGAAGCTAAAAAGCTCAGCTGCCATTATAATTAGCCCACATCTTTATTTCACAAATCTGAACCAACAAGCAAGTGTCTCTTTCTTTGAACAGTTCAGATACTAGTTTCAGCTTGGGGGATGCATCTCCCCTCAGCGATACCCCTGAACTTCTGCATTTATTCTGCAAAAATCATTTGACAACCTATGATGCACCAGGCACGAGTCAAGGTGATAGGGATATAGGGGTAAAAAGACAGTTACACTCTCTGCTCTATACATACCTTCTCTCAAGGACTGCCATGATTTAATCTCCCATTATTAATCTTAGTTTGCCTGACTAAACATTTTGTACTGAATGACACCCTGATTCTTTAGATCACTTTTCTAGGACTCATATTCTTGAATCCAATACTTTTCTAAATATGCTATGAATAGATATGGCTCTTTAAAAGAAGTAGACTGTCTCCTACTTCTGTCTATAATACACTTATTCCTTTTTTTAAATGTCTCTCTTGACATATTAGATCATCTTTATTGCTTCCTGAGCCATTTAGTCTCAAAAACTAAACTTTTAATAGCAAATATGTCTTGTTTGCACATTGGTAACAAAATGTCTCCTTATAGTCAGTAAAGGATAGGTTTTATTAAAGCTTTTAACTTTGCTTAGCTGCCTGATAATAATGCCTTACTTTTATATAGCCCTTTAGAAATAACTGTTATATATGTGACTTAATTTAACTCCCACAAAAGCCCTGTACAATAGGCTATATCATTCCCATTACACAAACAAACATAGAGGGGTCATTTGTCCTGAGGTCTCATCACAGGAATTAGAATTAGAATCACTCTTTTCACCCGGGCACTGCAAGCCTGCCACTGAACTCTACATTTTCCTCTTTGTATACATAGTCCAATCTCATCCATTTGAGAGAAATATTTATTGGGAGGGAAAAAAGATTCTTTTTTCCTTTATACAAATTCAGATGAGGCTGGATTCTGCTGATGGTTGTAGCCTCCAAGGCCCTCCTATCTATAAGATCAGTTCAAATGCTCTGTGAAGAAAAAAAAAAAAAAAAAAAGCCTGAAAAGCAGAAACTGTGCCTATTGACCCTAATTTATCCAACTGATTTCAATTGTAAAATTAGAACAGTGTTCCCAAAGAAAAGTATTCCCAAGAAATAGAAAATTCCACTCAAGACAGCAAGGGCTGTAAGTTGTCTATGTGATAATGATCTTGATAATATCGGTATTTTGGACATCAGATTGTGGTAAACCCTCTGTAGGGTAGCAATGCCCTATAACAGGACAGGGAGAAGGCAAGGAATGAGGACTTCCTGTGGCTCCTTAAGCAATTCAGATTCCATAACTGAGGCAGGAGCTGAGGAAGAAGGAGGCGGACCTGCTCGGGCCATGAGCACCCATTAAATATTGGTACCCTCCTCAGTAACATGGTGTCCTCTGTGATATCCCTCCAAAAATCCAACTGTCCAGTGAGGTGGTGTCTGTGTGGCAGAGCACTCGGTAGCTACAAATCTTTGTTTGTAAACTACAAGTAATGTATGTTCCATATTTTTCTATAACTGAGCTTAATTTCCGTTTTGAACCTTGATTCCTGTGAGCAACAGAAAGTCAACTTTAGTCATTTGGGGTTTCTTTCCACAAGCCCTCCTGAGATTACGGCGAATTCTAAGAGGCTGAGGGGACAAAGAGTTGGGGTAACAGGAAGAGGGGGCAGTCAGAGCTTAAAGCCAACCTGCTCAGAGAGCTGGGAAGACTGGATGGAATGCAGAAAAAAACAGAGGAATTCTCTTAGCCCTCCCCATTGGTCCTCCCACCCATCACAAAATGGGGACGCTGAAGTTTATTGATCAGAAATGTTTCTTTGTTATTGTCATTATTTCTCATTCTCAGAAGGTCAGAATCAAAAGCTTAAGAAAGATACTGATTCTCTCCTGACTTACAGTTGCAGCAGAGATTCAGAAAGAGCTGAAAGTTACCTCAGAATGTCACTATTTCAAATTTAATGCACATTTATAACACTGTTTTCTTTTGCTTTACTGTCTCAAGCATTACAGAAAGTATTCATTGATACTATTAAAATATATTAAATAATATGTTAAGCCTCAGCCAGTCTTCAGTGATTTCTGAACATCTACATGATGAGAACTTGCCTACCTACTTGATACATAAAATACGTTTTTTCTTTATCATAAATCAAGAAGATCATGACAAAGTGTTCTTTGATTTGTGAATACATTTACATGAAAAATCTCGCACAGTTACAAAAATTAAACCACCACTGAATATATATTTAACAAATAATTTATATTGAAAACAATAAACATGTTAAATCCAGACTGTTTGGTTCCCTTTGGATCCAAAGAAATATATCTACCTTAAAAGAATTTGACAAAATGACACCAAAATTCAAATGATAGCTCTCGGGTGAGAAAGGCTGAGAGGCTGATTGATTTTGGCTTTAAGACTTGAGCTGGGCCTCCAAAGGAGCCCTGAAACCTACAGCAAAGTCACAGGGCTGCTTCTCTAAAATGCAAATTCCCCGGTCCCACTCCAGAAACAAGGAGGGGCTATTTTATGTACTGCATTGGCCTCAGGCCATTCTAAACTTTGGAGGC